ATATATTTGTGTGTGTGTGTGTGTGTGTGTGTGTGTGTGTGTACCTACTTAACTATATTTTGGGGACAAATTTGTACTCAAGTGAGCTAAACCTGACAAAATCCGCAAAAACCTCCCTTTGGGGATGTCCTCATTTGTAAAACTGGTATAAAAATGAAGTAAACAAAGTTTTTTTTTAAATTGTAAAAATTCAGAAAGTTTTCTGTAAGGGGTAGGGTTGGTGTAGGATGATAGAAAATACAGTTTGTTCAGTATAAAAACCATTACGCCTATGGAATGTCCCCATTTAGATAGCTAAGTAAACGTGTGTGTGTGTGTGTGTGTACACTTTTTAAAAAGTGTATTTACAGGCTACTTTAATCCAACACTTACAAGTATCAAGAAATACCATGGTACTACCATATGGTTTGACATTTACCACAGTGGTTTTAAGGTGTTTTTATAAGTACCTCTGAGTATCTTGTAAATAGCTAATTTTAAAAGTACCATAGTATTACCTTCCCTTACAAAAATTAACCATGATTTTTATTATAGTAAAACTGTAGGATCCATGTTTTTTGGCGTATTGATTACCATTTGTATAACCACATTTTTACCATGGTTACTCTGGTTTAACTATAGTAACCATGGTTTATTGGTTTTATTTGTAGTAAAACCATGGTTAATTTTCTTAAGTGTTGGTATTGCCACAGTGCTTTTTTTTGTGAAGGAAAAACCTTGGCAATAATATTCAAAAGACCATTGTGGTATATGGTATCAGATACCATGAATGATTTGTGTTTTCTTATTTACATGGTACTCCACATTAATTTCAGCAAAGCACTATGGTAAATGTTCAAATCCATGGAACTGGAACAATGGAACTGTAAAAAAATGACACAGTATTTTTTTTTTCATAAGGGTAGCATCCATAAAATACATGGTATTGCCATGGTACTTGTTACTTTTTTGTTAGTGAAGATGTCTGTACTGTACATCAATTTTATTCAGTTTTTTCTATCATGTTGATGGCCGTAGAGCAGTACCCTTTGGCTAGATGTAGAGATGATTGTGTTTGTTTGTGTGTGTGTGTGTGTGTGTTATTGTGTGTCTAAATATGTACCTGTCTCTGTGCAGCATGTCAGCACTCCTTGGCAAATTAAAGGAAAATTCCTGACCTTGATTTGCAACAAACAAAAACAAAAAACGGGCAGCTTTATCGTTCAGCTGAACCTCCAGAGCCACCTCCCTCTTCCCCCTTTTTCAACAACAGCGTCGTATGCGGCTGTTTGGGATGGAGAGCCTGTGTACGCTGCTTTGACAGCTTGTCAGGCTACCCCATGATAATGAATTTCAAATGCTAGATATGCTCTCTGTAGCCAGCAGCCATTGTGTTCTTGGACTGTTTGTGCTCTAACAGGGTGATCTACATGGGCTCATGTAATGTGTGTGTGTGTGTGTGTGGATGCTTAATACAAGCTATAACACACCGTGATTCATACATAAGGTTTATTATGGTAAATTCATACTCATACCACTATCTGAATGTCACAGATGTCACATGCCAGTTAAATCGTGATGCATATCGTACTTTGCTTTTGGCTCCTCATTTTTCTCTCTTCTCCGTCTTTCTCTTCTAAAAGTCAGATGAGCTTCTCTGTGATACTGAATGCTGGGATAGCACCTCTGCTTTCGATTCACCACTGTAACCACCATTTTGTGTTTTCTTTCTCTTCCTCTTTTTCCATCTTCTTGCACTCTGTCTCTTTTATTTTATTTTCCATCTGGACTCTTTTTATGTACATATCAGTTCATTCGTTTGTTTCTACACATGTGCTTTATGTTCTTCCCCTCATTTTTATTCCCCCTTAGTATGTACTTCTCATTTAATTTCCATCTCTCTCCAGAGGATGGTTTTATTGCTCAGAGGTTTTTCTTTCATGAGACTTTAATGGGGTTTTCAGATATGTTTCAATTAAGTATCAACATCATCTCAGATGTTTCACATAAAATTCTCCTTTAGGAGAATAAAAATAGAAGCAAATTGTTGACAGTGAGAATATAGAGCTGTAATGTGGCGTTAATTTAATATAAAATATAATCTTATTTTAATATTGAATATAATATACTACTAATTAATACTATTAATTTCTAGTAGTTGTTTGATGAGAAATATTTGAGTTCATCTTGAAATATCTATTGACCGAAGGTTTTAGCATCTTGGCAAAACTGAGTGCATCTTTTTATACATAAATCTGATTAATAAGTGGGACATTGTTGAGATATGTTCTGCTCCACTAGAGTAGTGAGAATAGGGTTCTTTTTCTCAGTAGGAAAGTCTTCTTTTGCTCTACATTTATTTCAATTGGGCTTTTAATGCTAATAGGCAACTCTTTTATTGCTTAATGCATAATGACATTAAGGTTTTCTACTTGATGTTAGAACATGGCAGAGTTTTTCTCTCATTCAGGAGGTCATAATTCATACTAAAGGTGTTCAGTGGTGTTCAGTTCTGGGCTTTATGCAGGCCGGTCAAGTTCTTCCACTCTAAGCTCTATATGGACCTCGCTGTGTCATGGGACTGAAAGGGCCCCTGTTTTGTCTTCACTGGAATTAGGAAGTCTAGCCAAACCCATTAATTAGAGGGAGTGTTCACATACTTTTGGCCAAGTATTGTATTAAAGATATCTTATTTACGACAATCCTCCACTCCCTTATTCTCAGCAATCTCCTCTGAAATTTCTCTGTATTACTTTTCTGTCCATTGTTTGTGTTTGTGTTCCTCTCTCATGTCTTTTCTCCCTTCTGTGTTTTTCCTCTGCAGCCTCTCTGGAGAGTTCACCGTAACTTGAGCATTCCAGGAGATCCTCCGTTCCTTGTCCATCTTCTCAGACGTCCACAGCACACACCAGACTGCAGTCTTCCTTCAGTCTACTTCTCTCAAAACTCTCCTAAAGCAGATCTAGACCCTCCCTCTGATCAAAACAATCCTAAAAAGGACCCAACTGATCTTCAGTAGCTCTTTATAGCATATCAGTTCCAAATTCGAAGAATCGCCTGGACTACTGATGTTCCCTTTTGGACAATGTAAAAGACTTGCTGCTGAATTGTCTTGTTTGTTATATGTAATCCTGATGTGTAGCACTTTAACCTCTTTCTTCCTGCCAGTGTTCAGCACACAGCCTGTTAGCAAATCTGACTAGCATGATGTTCTATGACACGCCCTGAACTTCCTGCAGATAGATCGATCTATCTGTCTATCTATCTATCTATCTATCTTATCTATCTATCTATCTATTTATCTATATCTAGGTAGCTAGGTAGATAGCTATCTGGCTAACTAGCTATCTAAATGGGTAGCTATCTAGCTAATTAGCCATCTATAGCTAACTTGTCTGTCTATCTATTTAGCTAGCTAGCTAGCTAATTAGCTCTCTGTATAGCTAACATGTTTATCTAGCTAGCTATGTGTTATTGAAATATACATTTATAGCTAGCTTTGCAGCTTATTAGCTATCTAGATAGGAAAACAAGCTGTCTAGCTAGCTTTCTTTACCTGTAAACATTCGAAATAGCAACATGTGGACTCCACCCTTTGCACGTCTAAATATTACTTGTCTTTTCCTCTCTCTTGTGTCTGCCATCTCTTAGTATAATGTAAACTGTCTGGTCGGCTTGCTTGGTTAGTCGTCTTTATGTCTTTGTATGTCCCCGAGCTTGAATTCCTTCGCCATCCATCAAAAGCTGAACTGAACTGAACTGCACTGTGACTGTGACCAGGTCTCTTAAAAAGACAAGCTCACCCTTCCACAGGGAGCTGTGTTCCACCCCAAATCCTTCTTTCATTGCCGGACCAAATGCATTATACTGTCATCTCTTGATCCGGAGCCAATCTTGGAGTCCGACTCATGGTGGAATTCAATTAGAAGGCAGGATGAAGCAACTGAGCTCAGAGCTGTGAAACTGCAAAGAATCAGAAATGGGAGACGATTCTTCTTTCTTTTTTTTTGGTTATGAAGGCAGGAGAAAGAAGGGGAAAAATAGATGACATGTCTCTCTGAAGTCTCATCCTGCCATTGGGAGAGACAGGGAAAGGAAGGGAATGTACTTTTAGGCATGGAACGGCATTATTAAAAAGTGTATAAACCAGACAGAGTGTTATTTTGGAGAAAAGAGGATGCAAGATGCCTGTCACTAGGAGCCTTGAACTTTCCATTCACTGTATCTTTTTGAATAGAAATCCTCACAAAGGCATCACTGTTAATATGACATGGCCATTCACTGTTACCTTTTTAACTTGGAAGCACATGGAAGTACTGAAGCAAATGAACTGTGTCTTTGTACCCTTTGATCGTTGTCACCTTTGTATCAAACCTCCATTACTTACAAGAGCCTCAGGCATCAACAAGGCTTCTCACCACAAAGAGACTTACCACAATTGTAGCATGACTCCGCAATATTGCACACCTTCCAGAAAGGTGCCGACACAGTCGCCGATAAAAGTCCATGACAGCGCAGACCCGCCACTGATTAACCACAGTGGCTCCGGTTGTTTTTTAGGGCTACAGTAATAGGTTACATGCTGCCGATCGTAGCATCCGGCCATGCCTATGATGGAAGGTTTGCCTTACAAAATGCTTTAGATTGCAATGAGATCCAAAAATTGAGTGCTATCGATTAGATCTTGTCGATTAGATCTCATATTGGCTCTTGTCTGGCTCACAAGATGGAGTCAATACTGGGAATCTGGGGAAAAGCATGTTCCAATTAAAAACTAGCTACCATTTCATGCCTTTGTGGGGCCTTGGTGTTTTTTATAGCTTAGAGAGGGCTCAACACCAGAGGCTTTTGATGACTGAGGGAACTTGTGAAGGGCTGAGAGGGTGAAAACTGAAATGGTCATTGGTTTTATAGCTGCTAAACTAGTATAGATCTCACTATATAGAGAATTTGTGGTTCCTTAGAGAGATGTTTTTAAAAGGAAATCACATTTTGACTCAAAATGGGTTTGTCTTGGACAGAGCCAGAGTAGGAAGTGACAAACATTACGCAAGCAACTCTATATCAGCTCTAAAAGACACTGAACGAGAGTTTGTGTTCTTTTCATGTGGATTAGATTATTAGATGGCAAGATGTTCACCCACGAGGGGTTTGTTTTTGATGTGAACTTTATGAGACCATCTCATGGTACATTAACCGCAGAGTTCAAGTCAATTCAAATTGTTCAGCAAAAACTCAGTAGCTGCGTACTGTCGATTCAGACTCTTAGTTCGCCTTAGGGTGTTTTTGTTATTTTCTAAGAAAAGTGCATAGGAATTATTGAATTTTTTAAAGATTCAATTTTATAGCATATACTACAGCTGTACAATATACTAAAATTGTGTTTGATAATCACATAAAAAGATACATAGTAGTACTTATATATTAAAAAATATATATATAATGTTCTTTGATACACGTCAGGATCAAATAACAATGATTCAGTCATTCTCACGAGAGTGCACACAAAGAAAAACAAAAAGGCAAACACTAATGATCCTTTTTGATCTTCAAGACGGTAGACCTTGAAAAAGCTAATTCATAATAATTAAGGCACGAATGTGCAAGGATAATAAACAAATAAACATTCACCCTCCGCTCTTTTATTTGTGAGATTTGCCTTTTGATCCACATAGACTCCAACACTTCTTTGAGGAATAGAATATGGCTTTTGTTAGATACACATCTCTCTGCCAGTGTAGTTCTATCTGACATAATGTAAAAGTGTGTTAGATTGGCGTCCTTACTCTAAAAAGTTGTACCTTTGACTGTGGAGCTGAATTTTAGTGGATTATTAATGCCCACACATGTACTGATGTTGTTCGCGTTGGTTCTTTTATCAGCTCTGAACTAGATTGGAGAGCTGGACACCACACCTGCACACAAATCAAGTGAACGTTAGCCTCAACTGCACAAAGTACACTCTTAAAAATAAAGGTGCTTCAAAAGGTTCTTCAAGCGATGCCATAGAAGAACCATTTTTGGTTCCACAAAGAACCATTCAGTCAAAGGTTCTTTAAAGAACCATCTCTTTCTTGCGTTTTTGTAATCTGAAGAACCTTATTTCGCCACAAAGAACCTTTTGGGAAACAGAAAGGTTCTTCAGATGTTAAAGGTTCTTTATGGAACCATTTAGACAAAAAGGTTCTTCTATGGCATCGTGAAGCACCTTTATTTTTAAGAGTGTACTCATGGATATACTGAGGTTATTTTTTTGCATCCACTATATTGTTGATATATTGATGTATTCATGCACACACATGCACCACCACACCGATATAAATGCTTAAAGCTGTACACATTCATCTAAATAATATCCATTACATTATTTAAGCCCATAGTACACTATGAAAAAAATGTTTGACACTATGCGGGCATGTTTTTACTATTGTGGTTATTCATTTCTGATGTTTTGAATTCAGAAGGCATGCAGACCAAACTCGCAGTCCCGTTTCTTTTCCTCTATCTTGATATAGTGTGCCTACTCATTAATATTCACCAATATGTTAATATTCTAATAAACATATTAATATAACAAGGCCATTCTTTGTGTTTTATTGAACCCAAGAACGATTTGAATCGGATGCTTATTATGGCTGATCGTTAGGTGATTGTGCGTGAAAGGCTCTTTATTTAATTGGTTCGATTTCATGTTAATCAGAATAGATGAGGAGAGTGGATGACAAACAGGATGTAGTTCTTCAAGAGGGTTTAAATGAGAAGTACAGCCAATAAAATGGATGTCTGGTGTGTTCTGTGGCTGGTTTCACCGGCACGTTAATCTAGATTGATATTGACTGCGCTATGTCTTACACAAACATATACAAGGCAGCAGTGAAAACGTCACCACACACACACACACACTTTGTTCTCTTGCTGACGGTAAAGATTCAGGGTACCTGGTGGGAGAGAGTGAGAGATGAACAGACGGAGAGATATGACAGCACATCACTCCACCTCAATCCCTCTGTGCTCACCAGCTACTCTACCTGAGACATTCTCAGCATTTTACAGCTCTTTCTTTCAGCGCATCTCTCTCTTTTTCTTCATATTCTTGACTGCATTTGCACTTGCTCTGTCCTCTCATATCTATTTCTGAGCCGTTTCCATATCTATCTATTTAAAATCCTTCTCTCTGCTCCCTCATACTTGCATGCACCGTCCCTCAATCGTGCCGTCTCTGTCACGACTATTAAAATTCAGCAGTATTGCAGTCTCTGTGTATCTATAAATACATACTTAAATATAATGTGTCAGCCTTCACTCTCCACCACAATTCTTCAGCACATATAGGCGATATATATGAGTATGAGCCTTCTGGGTAGCTACATCCCAGCATTGCTCCAGGCAACAACACACATGCAGCCACATAGGCAAGTGTGACGGAATAATCAGAAACGCCTGCCGTCAATGATGGCCCATTACTAGAAAAGACAAAAAAGTCTTCTTTTTTTTCACACTGCACATACTATAACTCATTTGTTTTTCAAAATCTGACCTTTAAGATGGACTGTACTTGCTGCTCTTTTGCTAGTGATGAAATTGAACTTTTTGTACAGCGGTATATGCAGCAGATAGATATTTCAAGCAATATCTGCACTACTGTTCAAATGTTTTTGAAAGAAGAACATTTCTTATCATTATCCATATTGAAAAAAAATTGTGCTGCTTAATATTTTGTGGTAATAGTGATACATTTTTTGTAGGATTCTTTGATAAATAGAAAGTAAAAAAATTAAATAAAAAATGAACTTCTTCACTAAAATATTTTTTCATTAGATTGACCTTTATTTTCTTATTTTAGTTTTATTTTATTTTATTTTACATGATGGCATTACATGATCACTAATTAAATCATCTTGTCGTCAGACCATAACTTAATACTTATAGATTATTAAAGTTTTTTTTATATAACTAAAATACATATTAATGTCTTATTACACTAAACAAAATTATAAACGCAACACTTTTGTTTTTGCTTTTGATATGCCACACCTGTGAGGTGGATGGATTATCTCGGCAAAGGAGAAGTGCTCACTAACACAGATTTAGACAGTGAACAATATTTGAGAGAAATAGGCCTTTTGTGTACATAGAAAAAGTCTTAGATCTTTGAGTTCAGCTCATGAAAAATGGGAGCAAAAACAAAAGTGTTGCGTTTATAATTTTGTTCAGTGTATCTTACATATTAATGTATTATCTCAAAGAATATCTCATTATGTAGAGGCTATTTCAAAGAAATCGACTATGTCTTTACAGGAAGAAGTTAATATTTAAAAATAATAATAATACATTGTTTTTAGAAGGTTTTAACAGCTGTCTCTACACTTTTTTCCAGCATTGTCAGGTATTTAAGAAAATTAAATGATTAAATATAAAATTAAATTATTTCCCTATTTAGTCACAGGTTTGATTCATTTATAGTTTTAGGGGGTTTTATCATCATTTTAGGTTTTATTATTTTGCTCATGTTTTCTGTCATATTACATAACTCACAAATTAAAAGAAATTGTTTGGGATTTTCAGATCATTTAATTTTATGTAGATAATATTTCTAACTAGCACCCCCCCCACTTATCAATCAATCAATCAATCAGTCAGTCAATTAATAAATAAATCAATCAATGTTTTCATGTTAATTTAAGATTGAAGATTTTATTTGTCACATGCACAGTAATATAGAGAATATATAACCAGCAGTGAAATGTAAATCAGCTCCGCTCCATAGTAATGGACAGTATACAATAGACTTAAACAAAATAAATGTACAAATGAACAGGAATGTACAACAGAAGAATATGCAAAAGGTAAGTAAATTAATAAGTAAGTAATTCTCATGTTTATATGCAAAATAGGTTAATGCCTGCAGACTGTCCGATTTCAATAGATGAATCTGAAATCTCATTCATTTATTCATTCATTCATTAATAAAATGTATTTCTGAATGTAACTTGCTTTAGATAAAAGCATCTAAATTAATTAATACAAATGATCCATATAGATAACAGACATACCAGAAATGCATTCAAACATGGACATGATGTTGCAGGCAGGAACACACACTCACCTCAAGACAGAGGTCTGAGGCTGTAGGCCACACAGCTTCCATGCCTCAAGGCAAAACAATCATTATGTGATCAATGCGTAAATGCTCTTTTGGTAGTCTGCGTGTGTCTTCTCAGACATAAAGGTAGCTATGCGAGTGTGTTTTGTGCCTAGAGAGAGTGCCCAGCCGAGGGGATGTCTGGTGGTACCTCAGCCCTTGTCAGAGCGACACAGTGGGTAGCCAAACACTTTCTCCAGCCTTCGGGCAGCGGTGCAGATAGAAGGCTACAGTGATCCTGCTCATTAAAGCCTTGCACTGGTCACTTCCTGCCCCATTCACTCTGTCTGCATTCTCATTCTTTTCTGTGTCTCTCGCTCTCTCTTTCACACTTCATCTCTTTTTCACTCCCTCGACCAATGCGTAACTGCTACTGCGATTCTTTCATGCTGACACAGTGTGTCTTAATCATTCACACAAACACCAAGAAGACTTCTTGCACAGTTGCACCACAAAAGGGCACAATACAGGCTGTCAGCACATGGCATGAAAGCAGCCAGACAATTACTTAGTTTGACGGAACGAATATTATTTTTTTGGAAAACCATACTTGACCGAGGAAGTTCCTCAGCTTCTGAGTAAAAATTATGCTCCATGTCTTCAGTTCTGCTTTTTGCATTTCTGCTGAAATCATGAGTGCACAAAAAAGATTTTTGCTACTTATTTTAATTAATTAAAATGAGCTAATGCAATAATTCTTGATCATTTTGTCACAACTTAAGTTCATTATGTTCAATCCACTTAAATTTGTATAATGTACATTTACTTGATCCATTTTTGTTGAGACATAAATCATTTTATTGCTTGCCGTTTACAGTTCTTTGCATGCAACCAAGCATGCTTTGGTTGTGAGTTGATGGGGTGAGCAAATGTTGATATTAAATCTAATTTTATTTATTTTTGTGAGAAGGGAATGGGGGAGACCTAATAGTGCTTAATTTGTGTTGGGTTTTAGAAGACTTACTGTTATGGATTACCATTGTGGTGAAGAGTGGAACT